TTGTACGTGTGCCATACAAGACCTAACATTGTTTTATGTGTTAACAAAGTTTCCCAGTTCATGCATACTCCACGACAATCCCACCTGACTGCAGTTAAGCGAATCTTGCGGTACTTGGTTGGTACATTGAATTTTGAGCTAACTTTCACTGCTGTTGGAGCTGGTGTGAAGGTGGATGCCTTTGCTGATGCCGACTAGGGAGGCAATATCGATGACAGGAGGTCCGTTTTTGGGCACAGTGTGTTTGTTGAAAGTAATCTTGTTGCATGGAGCTCAAAGAAGCAAAAGTCTATGTCGAGGTCCACCATGGAAGCAGAGACAAGAGCATTGTCGACACAGCTGTCGATGTTGTATGGGTTGAAGCCTTGCTGACTAAACTTGGTATATGTCAGAAAGAGGAGCCTGTCATATGGTGCGACAACACCAGTGCTGTAGCTCTCAGCGCCAATCCAGTCTATCATGCTCACACCAAACATGTTGACTTGGACATACATTTCGTTCGCGAGAAGGTTGCTGCCAAACTGATGAAGGTCAACTATGTACCAGCTGCTCATCAGATTGCTTGTGGACTAACAAAACCGCTAACATGAATTGCCTTTGAAGAATTTCGTGCGAAGTTATGTATGAAGCCGTACTGAGAAGAATGAGAGGAGAGAAAGCAGGAGGAATGTTGAAGTATGGTCCTAAGCACGCTGATATGCTAGTGTGTGGCACGCTGGTTCGCTCGTGCGTGGTAGTCACTGCTAACGTTCGTGGAACGTTCTAGTTTCATGTGCAACAGATCACTGCTTGTGGAGTTACAGCAGTTATTGATGTTAGGCAGTTAGAGTCTTGTTAGAGTAGTTGTAGTGCAGTTAGTCTCTTGCACTCTTGTAGTTTGTTAGCTATATAAGGCATGTAAGATTGAAGGAATCAATATAGAAGAGCATTATCTATTTCTAGCTATGTTGCAAACTCTCGGTTACTGAGCTCTCTCAACATATATAAAACAAATATGATGATAAGTAGCATCACAATTATAAACCTCATTATTTTATTTTTCTTTCATAGGTGAAGTTTATTATTTGCATATGTCAAGTATAAAAATACCCAGTTTCTTGTCTCACTCCACTAACTTCCCTCACCATCGGCAAAAGAGTCTCACATTCCCTCATTCTCCATTCAGAGTCCATTATTACCTTATCCCATCACCCATAAATTATCTTGTATCTATATCCCTCAAGCCCTACCTATATCCATATCTCTACAACCTCACCTAAAAAATATGATGATAATCAATAAAAATGGGATGTCGAACCTAGCTAAAGAAATCTGAAGGAAAAAAACAGAGTTAAAAAGGCTGAAAAAATGAAAAGAAAAAATAAAGGGAAAAGTTCTTCCTTTTGACGTATGACTGTTTTCGGTGACTAGAGAGCCTATTCGAAAATTTTAACGGTGAAAGGCTCCACCACTATAAAGAGGGCCGCATACGCTAGTATTAGCTCCATCTGACGGTAAAGGAGGAAGACCGACAAAAGGGTTATCGAACTAAGTGTAAATCTATGCCATCAGAGGTGTTTTTTTAGCAAAATCAACACCGAAATCGTGTTCAACGTGTCCAGACAAATCAGCATAGCATTTTGGTAATTCAATCACTAAAAGCAATGGCCAACAACGATCAGCTGACGGAGGCAACGAAGTAGGTTTTTTTTTGTCGCCGCAAACAAAAAATAAACACTCTAATCATAGATTTAAATTACATTTTGCATTTTTAATTCAACCACATTATTTTTATCGCTATTGTAGATATAACTGATGATATTGAGGTTATTGCAAGTATCGCGATTGTGATTTTTTAATAACATATGCTATTGTGGACATAACGGTTGTGGATATCGCAATTTTAGATGATGTCGTTACTACTACTTAAAAGTCGTTGTTGTGGTTATAAACCGTTATTTAAATAATTTTTCCTAATAACAAATGCTAAAAATAAATAAATTCTAAGAGTATGCCCATAATAACAAGTATTGAAAAAAATGGCTCCCTATTCCCTAATAACAAATATTAAAAAATTAAGTTTTAAGAGTATACTCATAATAAAAAAATATTGAAAAAAAATATTAGACCTCTAATAAAAGTATGAAAAATTGGACTCATAATAATAAATAAATATTAGAAAAAATTAAATTTTAAATGTATACCCCTAATAACAAATATTGAAAAAATTAGGTTCCTAATAACAAGCATTGAAAAAAATTGGACCATTAATAACAAATGTTAGAAAAAATATTGACAAAAAATTAGACACTTATACAAATATTAGAAAAAAAATAATTATAAGATTATGTCTCTAATAATAAATATTAGAAAAATTCAGCTTATAATAATAAATATTGAAAAAATAAACCCTTAATAATAAGTATTAAAAATAATTAGACCCTATAACTAATATAAAACTAAATTTTTATAAATATAATACATTATAAAAATTCTAGGCCTTAGGCAAGTGTCCTATCTAGGTCCAGATACAACCCTACAACGAAGATGAACGGTGAAGATCGACACCTTTTTTAGAGAGAAGACAAAAAAATTTCTAAGAGAGGGAGAAAAGAAGAAAAAAAAAGAAGGGCATTTAAAGCCCCTTTAAATGATAAATTTTTTTTGATAGTTAAACTATAAAACGATATCATTTTAGGGACACTCGACCCATGACCTAAGCACCGACCTAAACCATCTTAGATCCGAGTATTTTTTTTAATCTTTTGGGTAAATTTTTTCACGATCATTCGACATATTTATTTGTTTCAATTTAATCCCTTGTCACGATTTCTTATTATTTTGGTCATTTTAATTTTTGATTTGATTCAGTTTAGCCATGCTTTACAGATTAACTACCATTTGGACCCTTATAAGTCATGTTTTATGTAATTTAGACCTAGCATGTTAATTAATTAAATTATTTGATCATTTTAGAATTTTTTATTTACATATTTGTTTATATTATGTTTATTATAATTATTATGTCTAACATTTTTTTTATTTTACTTATTTTACAAAGCAAGACAACATTTGACTCCTTCTAAATTATTAATTTTGGGTGTTGTGAGTGTTTTAACTTTCCTCACACATAATTAACTTCCGAGTCCAATTTCAATCTTAGTGTTATGCATAGAGTGAGCTTGAAGGTATTCAGTCATACCTAGTTTAAAACGACCGATGGTGACTCCACAAGCTCTTTAAAGACTCAACACATTCGAATTACCACAAAATGATTTCTATATATATTTTTAAAATTTTAATAATTTAATTTAAATTATACATTGTTTTATTTTAACATTCATTTTTTTAATTTTATCATGATCTTAAAATAAAGTATCTTTACCCCAAAGTGAATTTAAATTTATTAAAATATTTGTTTTAATGAGGTGTTTGACGTTAAACTTAAATATTTAATATTAATTTTGGTACTACTTATCACAAGATTAGAAGTGTTTATCGAGCGAGTCGATCACGAGCCAAGTAATGCTTGACTTGAGCTCATTCAAAGAAATTGTTGCTCTACTCGTTGCTCGATAAAATATTTCTCAACTCGTGCTCATTTAAAAATTTATTGCTCGACTCAACTCGTTGCTCGTTTAGCTCATTAGAAAAATTACCTTGTTTTTATACCTATATGTAAAATCTAGTAATACTATGAATAACTTAATATAAACATAAATCAACTAATTTAACCAAATAAATTATCAAAAGAGTATATGAAACAATTTTAAAGTCTAAAATCCAAAGTAATAATCCACAAATACACCAAACTAACATATTATTGTTATAACTAAAACCTCAAAGATATAAAATCAAGAACCTAAGATTTATCATGTCAAATCATCAAGAATAAAATACTAGATATGGAAGTGTATCTGAATTAATCGATATGTGAAAATCGAGTATTTCTTTGGTTGTGATCTACCAAGAAGATAAGTTTGTTTTTGCTGTAAAAACTATTTAACGAGATAAGAGTAATATAAGTTAATCTTTTCTTGGGGACCATTATCTCTTTATATAGAATGAATATTATGTCAATCTATTAAGTATTTATAATTTTACTCCTCATCAAATTATGAATACAAATTATGGTATCTACACTTTAAATACATATGAGACATGTAATATAATTGGTCACTTAAATTTTGTGTCATACTTTATGATAACATTGTACATTGTACATATATACCCCTAATTATGGATTTTAATCCAACAATTACAACCAAAGTATCAATCCACAATATAACAAACTAACATATTTAAAACATCCTTGAAAAAAAAATCAACAATAAATAATCAATCTTAAAAATAAAAAATTAAACACATTAATTAATAATTTAATATCTTTTTTTATTTATTAAAAAATTAATAATAATTATTAATTAATAATTTAGTATCTTTCTTATTATCTATTAGTAAATTAGTAATTATTAAATAGATTTTTTAATGAAATAATTTTTAAAGATAACTACTAAAAAATATAAAAAAAATATTTAACAAACTGTTTGCACCTGTTCGCGCACTTATCGAGTCAAGTCGGTCCTTGCTCGACTCTACTCATTAAACTCTTGAATTGAGTTCAAGTCTCACTCCAAATTAAACGTTCACCAAATTTTAACAGACTTAAAATTTAAACAACTCACAAGATGCTCAACTAAGTAAGCACTCATAAACAAGATATAGTTTCTTCTAAAGATAAGATCTTAAGCCATTATGAAAGAAATAATTCAATTTTAAACCCAACATCTGGGCTTTGAGCTTTTGAGTTATTCATGGACAGTAATTCAATAACTCAAGCTTCCCTCTGTTCAAAGACCCAATTTCAGCAAGTAATGTTAGTATTTATTCCTCCTCTATGTTAGTTTTGGGTAATATCTGATGCCATGTCAGCATGACTTGTTTCTTTCATTCAGTTTGTAGATTTCATACAATTATATTGCATGATAGGCACTACGTGTTATGCATAAATGCCATCAGAATATTGCAAATAATGAAAACATCAATATAATATTTTAGTAAGAATTGGGGAATTCTCCCAACAAACCAAACGATTGAGTCATGAGAAAGCATTTTTAATGATGAGTTCACTACTTGCTGGCTCGAACAATGCTTCCACTACGGTTGAACCAAATTCACTTGTGCTTTTAGATCCATTGATTCCAACTGCAACGGGCTTGCTCAGAAGCTTAACCCCTTGCTTCCAGTATCTGTGGTCTGAACCAACATGAAAACGAAGAAGATGTTATCCCATGCAAATATATTATACTTTTCAAATAAGGGTCAACAGAGAAACACAACCGTACCTGGTCCGGTCGATACTACGACCGAATTCTCTGCATCCATAACCCAATCCACCCACAGAACAAATCCATGACACATACCATGTTCACTGAATTGAACCTATGATGAAAGAGCATGAAATAACATCATTACCATAACTATTGAATACAAAGGCATTTCAGTATATAGGCCGGTTGGAAACAGGGGTACCTCTGCTTTTCCATGACATGAAGTTATTGATTTCGAGAAATCAAATTCTAAGATGGTAAATCTCTCACTTAACTCCTAAAACACATTCAATGCAGTTGAATTAGTATCAACAAAATGATTGTCATTGTTAAACTCAGTTTTGCAGGCATCAATTACCTTTATCTCACCGCACTGCCATATGGAGAAAGGAAGACATGGACCCTCTTTCGGGGCCGGTAATTCACCGCATGCCCCTAAGGTAGTATTTACAATAGAGTGGTCAAAGCCTTCGACCTCACCTAAGCAACGACAACTACTCCAAAGATCCTGTACAAGTATGATAACAGAACTGGACGATCATGAAATATGAATTGTGCATAAGAGGAGAAATTCAGTCTAATGTTTTATTCTTTATTCCTTTTTTGGTGAAGTAGTAGGAAACAAAATGCGGCAAAGCAAAAATATCAACTTACAGGGAGAGACATAGCACAAGCCTTTAGTCTTCCTTTACAAGGCATTATCAGCGCATCTTCTGAAAGGATGGGGTCGAGCAAGGTACGGTCCCTCCTAAACCCGAGCCAAAATATAAAAACAGATCAATCGAGAGTGAGTGACTAATAAATACAAAGTCCTCTTGAAACCATTCAAATAATATTATTGCCTTCTTCCTATTATAGGATTTAACAAATAAATCGAAACTTGTCCTATGTATAAAGGTGGTGGATTTTTTTTAACTCTACAAATGGCTTTAAGAGCTGTCGTATGCCGAGTAATAGAGGAAAATTACAACATCCTAAGGTTCTGGCTGAATTGTTAAACAGTGCTGAATGATCTTTATAAAAATGCATTACAGAAACTATCAAGAAGAGGACATACCAAAACCGTAGGTTCTGCCATGGAAGCATCCCTTCATTTGCATAATAATATGGTTCTCCAATCAACATATCAACCTATGAAAGAAGGCATAATACCTATTTACTTGAATACTGTATAAGAGAATATTAGAACATTCAAATCTCAATATAAAAAATATTCAAGCACAACACATTAGAACGAGCATCAACTTCTAAATATTAATAGGACTTGATGTGCTAAGATTCACATATCTAAAACCAGCTCTTTGGCCTCTCCTCTCGTTTCATAAAAGGAAGTGATATTGAAAGAGAAAATGGGTTTCAATGGAAAAATGAAAAAGCAGAGTAACATTCTTTTCTGGATACAAATATTAGAGATATATTCAGGAAGCATGTGATGCAAGCAAGCAAATGGTAAAGCTGAAGCAGGACAAGAATTACCGTTCTTCCATGAGTATCATGCAAGGTCAAAGATGCTTTCCTCTTTTCGGGAACTTCCACACGATCCATAGAGAAACCATTTGCCTTCACAACTTTTTCCAAATATTGGGCACCCTTTTCTCTCAACCCAGGAAACAATGATACTACATGTGACGTTTTCGAAAGATTTACAGCAAGTAGGGTTAAAAATATGCTATCATCCACAACAACACATAATGTGTTAACTCTTCCATGCAACTGCAAATAATAGAGTTAGTGAGTTACAACTAAAAGGTGTAATACAAAAGGAAACTATTGGGGGGGGGGAAATGGTGAAATCAGCCAAATGTAAGAATACGTGCGCGCAGGGGAAGCAAATGAGATATGTAAAGGGGGTGAGAACCTTCACTCGAAGATAGAGTGATTGCTTACAGCATTTCTTACTGCTGTCAACATGGACAATCGCCATTCACCGTCTCCATAAGTTGCAATTCTTTCTGGTGACAATAACAGCTGAAAATCTCCAATTTTGTAATCATGCTGCCTTATGTCAGTTTGAGTGACTTGGACATTGAGGTTATATAAGACACTAGTCTCCGTGTGAGTAGCTTCCAAAAGAACTTCTTTTCCCACGGACACTGGCATACCCTTCCCTCGAAAGAACCAAACACACTGCTTCCAATGGTCACACCAATTCCTATTTCCTAATGAAGCATTATAAAGCAATTGAGGCCATAAGTTAAAATAGTTTCTATTTTAGTTTCAGGAAAATTTCATCAAAACAGAAAAATGATTTCAGCAGAACTCAACTCCATCCAATGTGTTTACAAAGTTAAGGATAGAAACATAAGAAATGCATTCCTCATACGGTTTTTAAAAAGATTTCCATGTTAATCTATTTTCAATTTGAAGAACGTCAAGAGTAGACAGCATAAATGTGATTAAACAGTTAAGCACAAGCAATCATAGATGACTAACCTATATTAGTCAGTGAATTTATCCATCTAGGGGCAGTGGAATAGAAGACAGTTCCTTCACTATCAAGTTGAAGAACCCACCTGCAAACAAACACACACAATTGACTGAAATTCTTTAAAGCTGAAAGACACAAAAGTGCAGTCATGAATATAGTTACCATGAAACTATAGCATGAATGTTACCATCATCAATCGCTTTGATCCGCACCTTAGTTTCCCTATGGCTTTCTGGCCGTTTCCAGAAGTCAAATTCAAATATTTTGAAGGGTTCTGAAAGCTAAAAGAATTCAAAATTTAGGAACAAAACTGTTAGCACATTTCTGAAAGTCTGTACAGAAGTGGATGAATAAATGAGATTACCAGTTTTATTTCATTCCTTATAGCATCACAATGCATTGGATACTGTTGTGATTTGACATGTAAAATACTATCCAAGCCTGTAGGAACAAGACAAATACCATCTGATGCTTTTGCTTCAGTACCATACAAAACATGAAGCTTCCACAAGTATGAACTTTCAACCAGCTAGAGGAAATACAAAATTAAAAGAGTAAGATTCTGAAACCCTTCAACATAACTAATAGGTTAACAATTCAGGTCCTTTAGGATAGGGAAAAGACCTGGCCATATGTAACAGCTCGGTATGGCACCGTTAGTGGATTTTCAACCAAAAGCTTATCGTATGCATATTGCAGAGTCGGAATTAGCCCTTCCCCCAGTAACTCCGAGTCCAAAATCTCACTAACCTGCACTCACAATATCAGATAATGGTCACTGTTAACATTAGACAACAATCAATTAAACCACAACATTCCATCTCTCAACATCCAAAACACATTTTTTTTATAACAGGCAATCAAAATTTAGAATCAATGATATACTCACAAGGACATCTGCTTGCGAAGGGATATCAATACCAACTTCGAGTTCATCAGAACGCTTATTAATAAGATTGATGGCTTTTCCCAGGCCATTTCGATGCAAAACTTTCCTCATCAACTTCGCCATTGGAAGATAAGATTCACATGCTGTCACAGTACCATTTAATCCCATCGCTCTTGCAGCCATCATTGACAACAGCCCAGTTCCCGCACTGCATAATATCATCAATAGCCAATTCAAGTTATAAAATCATTCCAAAGATTTAAAATTTTCAAAAGCTAAACCCTAAACTTTTGCTTACATGAAACAGTACTACTCCCCTTAACGATCTTTACATGAAAGATCAGTTAAATTTCAAAAAGCAACGAAATTATTAACAAGCGAGGCATGAAAAGTTCATTTATTGTTGAAGTTTGAAGAATTACCCAATGTCGAGCACGTGGCAAGGTTTAGTTACAGTTTTGTCAATGGCTAAACGGAAGGCTTTGTTCCGACAAGAGTCGTTGAGCATGTCGAGATACGACGTGGCGGCTAAAAGCGGTTCCTTGTAACATTCAGGAAGTTCGTCGTTGTCTTGGATGACGACCCACTCCGAGTTTCCGGTGAGTGGATCGAGTTTGAGTTGGAAGAGTCGCTGGGAAGACTGGGAACTCATGAGTCGAGGTAAGTGTAATTTGTGGTGACGAAGTGAGTTGGGGGTCAAAGTCAAACGAGTTGAGGAACGAAGAGAAATGGAGGGAATTAGGGTTTTGGAGATGAAAGAGTTCATATGATGATAGGAACGAATGTTAAAACTATGGAGTAAATGTTAACAAATGATGAACAGAATTTTAAAAGAATCTATATAAGAGAATAGATGGATTTTATAGATTAAATAAAAATATTATATGTTTAAATTATAGGGTAAACTACACGGGAGACCACTAACTATGGTCAATAATCAATCTGATCACTGAATATTTTTTTATTTAAATCAGACCATCAAATTTTTTAATTGATTCAATCAGATCATTCTCTGTTAAAAAAATAACGACGAGTCCGACGTGACTGTTATAAACTACCGGCGACATACACCAAAGGTTTTTATATTTTATATTGTTATTAATGCCAACTGAGAAGACACATGGGTTTTTTCACACAAACGCATTCGGTTTCAAACCATTTTCATTACCATCTTCTAAAAATCAAACTGGTTTAGAGAGATTCAGCGCATATGTTTGGTTAAAAGCTTTGAGGGTTTCAGGAAGAATGCAGTTGCACATTGAACCTAATACAAAGAAAAGATGAGGAACGTGAAATCAGAAAATGCTTGTGCAAGTGGATGTAATAACAACGATATCGATGATATACCTATTCCCGCCCAGTCGATTCACCCATTTTGGAATGTGTTTCCCCGTCAGCTTGTAGCAAATATCCTTGCAGAAATGGTTGCAATTCTTGACAATCAGGTGATACGTATCTCCATGATACCTTGCTGAATTCCGCTCCATGAATTCCCTTACTTTGATAGGGTCCAATGATGTCATCCCAATGACTATCGATTTCCTGAACTTGAAACCTGGACACTGCCGCGGTTCGACCTCGAAAACACCACTCGTCGGGTACTCATGAGCTCCGAATGCATACTCCACATCCTGAACTATATACAGTTTAAACTTAGACCACAAAACCAAATAACAATACATGTTTTGCATGAAGCAAATGGGCCAAAACTAAATGGAACAAAAGCATAAAAAACAACTGGAATGAAGGGTACCTTCCACACCAGAATGAAAGATACCGAGGCCAGCACAGTAAAAGTAGCCATTGATGGGGGTTAGGTCATAGACAGTGAGATACACTGGTGCACACCTCGGATCAAAACTAGTTGGCTTCACCTTTGCAAAAAAAACGAGATGCTGATTTGCTTTTCAAAATCCCCAGCACCACTGATTTCCATTTCTTCCTTTGCTCAATATCCATATTTCTTAAGTGACTAGACTAGACTTCAATTAATGCCTATACAACCTGGGGTAAACTACAAATATTAGCTATACAATTGGTGGCAAACCATTTACTAATCATGAAAGGAACAAAATGAAGAGAACAATGGGCACTGCCAATAGTAATCAGGAACCAAAAGTTTCTTAAGAACATAGCTTACATACAAGGAATTGAACCAGTCATATGACAAAGGATCATGATGACATAGAAAATGATAAATTTTTGTAGGCTCCTAGAAAGGTTTGCAATTATCATTATACAAATTTAAAAATATAATAATGAAGATAAGCAACCAAGAGATATAGAGAAACAAGCAATACCCCATGAAAGCAAAAAATGACTCGAATTGCCTGGGATGAAAAGATAGACTTCAGATCTACTAGAAGCAGTGTCCATTCCCGGGAGAGAAAAAAAGCGATAAATTGAACAAAATATTAACAACGTAATAGATCAGAAAGATTTAAAGGGCATGATTTTAAACAATGACCCCACAAAAAAAGAAGCATCTTCTTTTTGAAGAAAAATAAAGAAACGAAGAAAAAAAAAAGGGTGAGAGAGAGAGAGAGAGAGACTACATATTCATAAAAGAAAGGCCATTAAGCACCCAATGAAAAGAAGCCGCGATTACAACATCAGAGCAAGGTGGCATTTAACGAAACGCTTCATCTTTTTTCTGCAAGGAGGAGAAGAAGAAGCCTGCTTGAAAACTGGAAAGTTTTTAAGCATTAAAGAAGTAGAGGTGGCGTGGTGATGTCCATGATGTGGCGTGGTGATGTCCATGATGTGGCGTGATGCGTGTTAAACCTGGAAACAATACGTTTATTGAGTAGTCACGTCGGATATGTCGTTATTTTTTAACAAAGAATGATCTGATTGAGATAAAAAAATTTGGTGGTTAGATTAATTATTGACCATAATTTAATGGTCTCCCGTGTACTTTATCCTAAATTATATGTATGGTTTATATTTTATATAACGGGAATTAAGTTTTTTATGTTGAGTTTAAAAACTAATCAACAGTTAAAGATGATAAAACAAAATTGAATTAAAATCTTTAATTTTTATATCATTCAATTTTACTTTTAGAAAATTGTATAGCGTAATTCTATTTATCTTTTATTAAAAATTGAACTGAAAGGATGGGGTTCTCTAGTTAAATAGTGAAAACTATTTTAAAGAGTAAATTATAAGATTAATTATTTTCGTTTAAGTTTTGTATATTTTTTCTCATTGAATTCAAAAAAATATAATACATGATTAATTTTATTTTTATTTAATTAAGATGTGACTATTGAAAGTTAATTGTCGTTAGACATTTAACGAATTGTTGAAGTGACACGATGAATTTATAAAATTAAAAATGATAAACTAAAAAAGTGATCATTAACGTTTAAGTAAGTTTTTATTTTTTCCACTAAAGTTTCAAAAGTAACAATTGGTTACTAAAACATCAAATATGACCTTGAACAATGGTTTTATATCTAATTTACCCCAAAAGTTTTCTAATTTTTCCAATTTATATATATATATATATATATATATATATATATATATATATATATAATTTTTAAATTTTAAAAGTAAAACTCAAAAATTAACTTTTGGACATAAAGCAATTGAATATTTCAAATAATAAACAAAAAATTAGAATTTTTTTGAAATAAATTAGATATAAAATCATTGTTCAATGACCTATTTGATTTTTAGTGACTAATTTGTTACTTTTGAAACTTTGGAAAACAAAAACTTACTCAGACATTAATGATCATTTGTGTAGTTTATCCATTTTAATCTTATAAATTCATTGTGCCACGTCAACAACTCGTTAAAGGTCTAATGTCAATTAACTCTCAATAATCACATCTTAATTAAATAAAAGTGATCAATCTTGTAGTTTACATTATTTTAAATTTCTCATAAAATTTAATAATTTAGTGTAATCTTTTTCAATTCCAACTTAATTTTAATTTTTAATTTTTAAAAAATGTAATTCAATTGAAATTTAATTTATTTTTATTAATGCCATCTCTCAATTTCTTTTAATGTTATTTTTTATACAACACCAAAATTATTTTAAAAAATTGTGGTTGTTACCCCATCTCACGAACCATGTTTCTTACTAAAAATAGTTTTTGATAAATAAGTATGCGTTATTAAACTCACCTTCTACCAACAATTAATTACTCTAATAGGATGAGACATTAAATCCCTCAAACGAAATTAAAGGCTTAAATCATAACGTTTGAGAATTGAGTAAATTGGATTGGAATATTACTATCGCCTCTGCAATACCCGATTTAAATTAACCGATCAATAGATTGGATAGTAATTGTTATAAAAAAACTCACCTACCAAAAGATACATATTACACATTTTTATTCTATTTATCATAAAAAGTTAAATTCTAAAAATAAATAAGGTTAACTTAAGTATAATTTTTAATAGTGATATTTAGGGTGTGTTTGTTTGCCGTAATTGGAATTACGGAATTGGTTTTCCCCGAATTCTCGTGTTTGTTTTATGTAATTCGTTTTCCGGAAAATATTTTTCCGTGTTTGTTTAACGTAATTGGTTTTCCAGAATGTAATTCATTTTCCTAGTAATAGAATTTCCTTTGTGTTTTCTGTAAAATGACTTACGAATTCATTTTCCGTAAGTCATTTTCCGAACTTTTCACTTCAAAGAATAAATACTCAAAATAATTTTTATTTTATGAATTTAATATTAATAAAATATTTTAATATCATTTTCATCAAAAAATTATTTATTTATTTATTAATATTTATAATAATATAATATAAATATTTTTAATATTATATAAAATAATCAATTATATTATAATAATATAAGATATTATATTTTCATTTTAATAAAATAAAATAAAAAATTTATATATATTTAATAATGAATAATATTATTTACATATTTAAATAATATTTTAATAAAGATATTTAAAATATATTAATTAATATTTTTAAAATATAATATAACACTATTGCTTTAATAAATAATTAATATAATTTATAATATTTTATTTCACTAAAATATACAAAAATTATTATTTTTATTAATAAAATTATAAAAATAATATTTAATAATAAATAAATTATTTTAATATTTTAAAATAATAATATAAAGTTTTATGATAAATAATATTATTTATTACATTTAATATTTATAATAAATAATTTTTAAAAAACTCTTCAACTAGTGGAAAAGGGTTTAAATAACATCTTCCAAATATCATAAAACGTTTTTAAGATGTTTTTCAGAAAGATGTAATTCATTTTACAAAAAATATTTTCCAAAAAATATTTTCCAAAAATATAATTCATTTTTCAGAATTCAAATTTCAATAATTTATTTTACAGTTTCAATAATTTAAATTTTAGTAATTCATTTTCCGAAAAACTAATCGCAGCCAAACAAACATATAAATGAAAACTGTCCAATAAGGGCTTACGTTTATTTCGAGGTCAACTGTGTCCAAATTTATTGATGAGAAGTAATATGGGAACTGGTTGGTTATTTTTTGGGCCGTTGCAAAGCCTATATGTTATTTGTTGAGGTCTAGGAGAAAGAGAAGAGGTGGCGGAGAAACATCCAGAACCACACGTGCGGTTACAGACAACAGATAGCTGTCAGGCTCGCTTTTTTAGCATTTGGGAGATCCACAAATCAAGCTCCCATGTCCCAACCACAATTGCATTCGTGGCGCCGTCACTATCGTATTCCGCCACGTTTGTCAAACTCCTTCACTCACCAACTCTAAATCACTCTTATTATTTTATACCTCCAATATTTTTCAAAATTATTATTTTAATTTTTTTTAAATATTTTTATTCTAACGTTTTATTTTAAGCTATAATGATTTTAACCTTTAACTGAATAGTTAGTTTACTCTTTATTATCTTTTTAAGCGTTTTGACTCTTAATATTTTATTTTCAGATAAAAATATTTTTATTTTAGAGCGTGAATAGTTTATTAACCAATAATTTTCACTTATAAGAAGATTTTTTTATCCCACAATAAAATAATAAACGTTTAAATATTCTAAAAAAAGAACACGAATCAAATTAACTATTTAATCAAACACTTAAAAATATTTTGACATTTTGCCAAAACTTAAGTTAAAAACAATAAACCATGCTGTAGGTTCTTTATTTACCTAATAAATTTTTAACTTTAATAAATTATTTCTAAATCATTGATTAATATTTTTTTAAATTTTAAAAAATCTTTTGACATTATCATTTAATATTTTCATTTATATAACAAAGTAAAGTTGAGAAAAAATTAAAAATTTGAATCGATTGAGTGATTTAATGGTAAAAATAAATGTTATTCTTTATAGAAAACGAGTTCGAGCGTAATGATACTAGTGTATATAGAAAATGTGTGCATTATCATAAACTAAAAAAATATAAACATTTATTATATTGTAATCACTTTAAACTATTCAAAATAAAAAAAATATTATTATTCTAAAAAAATTAAATAAACAAGTAAAAATATAACAAAAGTAGTTTAAAAACTGGCCCTAGCCACTTTAAAAACATGGTAAATTTATTTGTTGTCAAGGAAATCTTAAATTATATAATAATAATAATATTTTAATGAGAAACAAAATGGCTCTAGCCGGTTACAAGTACTTCAAAAACAAATTGGGTTTTAAAACAATGCATACAAATATTTTACTGTTGGCTTTAAAAAGATTAGGTGCAATTACAAATCAATCAACTTGGTATTTTTTTTATAAATCTAAGGTAAGGTGTATATAAGATAGTAGTTGTTTAAAAAATTTTAATTGCTTAATAATAAATATTTATATCACTAATATATACACTGATTGAACTTAAAATTTTAAGATAAAACAATAAATCTTTTAATCGTTACGATAATTTATTTCGTACAATCAATTTGGTATAATAAATAAACGTTTATGTGGAAAGAAATACTTATAAAATAAGGGTTGGGTGGAGGAATGGTTGGTGAGAAAAAGATTTTATAAAAAGGAAAATGGGAAGAAGAAGAAGAAGCCTTGTTGATTTTGGATTTTAATGTGGAAAAGAGGGAGACAGCTGGTTCGCAATTGCATGAGTAATCTGACGGAGCAGTTGTACTGTGTGGTCCAATCCCTCATACTTTGGGGTTCGCACTCACCCCTTCCCCAAGGCATCTTCATCAGTTTGGATCTAGTGTTTTTATAATGTATAAACTACATCTTTAGTGCCCCTGCTATCCTTTTTGTTATATTTTGATCACTGAACTATTTTTTTAAAATCATATTTGAGTTGATATGATATTCTTTTAACTTTTTTAGTTATGAAATGACATTATCTTACTATTGTATATCAGTATCACCATTATTTTTTTAAAGAAGTGTGATCAAAATAAAATCAAAACTAAATGTTAAGTATGATTTTTAAAAAAAAATAATTGAATGACTAAAATAAAAAAAAAATTAGATACTAAACTTATAATTTATGACTTAATGTAGGTATAAATGATTATTTTAATTAATAAATCATATTTTAGACATTAAATCTTATTTGAAAATTTGTTAATAAAGTGAATTGTTTCAACACTATTTAAATTTGATTATAAATATTTATTATATAGTGATATAATTTAAATTCAATTTAAATAATCATATACATTATACATATATATTTTTATATGTAACATATATATGTTTTGATAATTGAAAATTTTGACTCTAACTTAAAAATCAATCTAATAATTATTAAAATATTAGTTTATTCGAACTCTATTTTATAACTAAAATTTATTTTTTGTAAAACTGAATCGAAATAATAGAATTACAAATTAAATCAAAATTTTAAATGAAATGAAATGAAAAAAATGCAAGTGAGTCAACTCCGGATGCAACAACTTTGAGTCGGTTTTAAAATCAGCCGCCAGGCAAGGTTTACCAAAGGGACGTGGGCAGTGAAGAAGGTTGGCAATGTTTTGGTCCGACGCTGGCATATATATTTACTATCATCATTGGTTTCAACATCTTCCGCCCATAACCAAACATGATGTAACAAATCCTTCATTTTTTTGGATTTTGGATACACAAACTTTGACGTCTTTAAGAAGCACACAATATCTTTTGCTTTATTAAATTTGATATATCGATTGTATGCAATTTAAGAATTCCAAAACAAACGTCCATCTAAAAAGATAATTCATTCAACACCCCCAAAACAATTAATGTTTTTTCTCATACGATTATCTACAGAATTGAATCTCTATTACACTTGAATATTTACCCACCTCATACGTAGGTATTAACAATATACACAATTGGCAGAGTCCATAAAGCAAGAATTGAAGTGCAGATAAGAAAAGCAGCGTTGATTTGCAAGTATTTACCCACTTAATAAGAAAGCAGCGTTGATTTGCAAGTATTTACCCACTTGACTTAATTTTCGAAGCTATCCCATAAAGAAGAGCACTTTCTCCTTGCAAATCCAACCTTCCTATTCTCCAAATCATAAACCACTTCAAAACCTTGTTGCTGATAGTTCCCCAGCGTTGCCCCTGGCCCACCACTCAACTCCTCCTCGTCACCACCGTTCATCAGCATCATACACCCCACATTCCTCTTCTTCCCTACTCCATCACCACCGTCCATGAATTCATAAAAGTAATTCCTCCTCGGCAAAGCCACACCCGATTCATTCCCCGCAAAATGAAACGTAATCCCCGGTACTTTGGTTACCTTGTCGTAAAAATAACACGGATTCAACCCGGTACTATCTTCTACCTCACTCGCCCTCTTGTAATAACGCCCCACTCGGTGATCGAACTCAGCCACCACTGACTCATACAAACTCGCCGGTAACATCGTGAATGTTGTCCCGGAATCCACCACCATCCCTCCACTTCCCCTTCTGTCCACCCTCTTCAAATTCTCCGGCGCCGGAATTTTCCTTTTCCCGACGGAGATACCCTCCAACCCCACGGAATAAAAATAAGGATGTTTAGGATTTGAAAGCATATCCGTGTAAACAAACTGGACAATTTTATTACCAAGCTGCTTTTCTTTGTCCTCGTGTCGACCAAGAATCAGCGGACTCGGTATCCTAACCTTGTCGGAATCGAACGAATGAGAAATTAAACAGTAGGAGAATCTGTTACCGAGTTGAGGAGACACCGAGGAAAGCTGAGCTGGCAAAGAGAGCCGCCCGAAACCGAACCCGACTACACCAACCGGTTCGCCCAAGGTGGTGTGGGCACAACCGAAAGTGAAGTTTTGAACGGAGAGGGAATTGGGGAGAGTTAAAGAGTCTTTATAAAGACGGGCGATTAAGCTACCGTCGCCGTACGCATAGTAAAACGGAGGGCAAGGGTAGGAGTTGCAATCAGACATTTCAATGTAGTCGAGGGGACAACGCGCAATGGCGCAAAGGTCGGAGGAATGGAGGGAAGAGTGAGCGGCGGAGCAGGTGGAGGATTTGCATGGGACGGCGGAGGCGGAGGCGGAGAGATTAAGAGGAGGAGACAGTGGTGGAGCTTTTGATTCGCAGAGAATGCATTCGAATGGGGAACAAGGAAGCCAAACGAGGTCGCTACCAGTGTCGAGGTAAAGCGAAATAGTCGGGGAGGAAGGGGAGCCAAGAGTGAAGGAGAGAGTGTAGTCACTGCCAGGAGAAAGAGGGAGTGGTACTTGCTTGTGACGGTGGTGGCGGTGGCGGAATCGGGATGCAGAGCGGGCTGATGTGGTTTTGAGGAGGTGGTGTGGGGTTGTGAATTGAGTTTTGGATAATGAATGAGTTAAAGGAAAAAACACCATCTCCGACGTTGAAACTGTAAGCCACCACCATGTTGAAAACAGTAGGCAGTAAAGCCAGCAAAGAGGAGATACCACCATGACTTGAAAACTGCAGGAAAAACAGAGTCCTTTCGGCTTGGTTTTTGGTTTACGTAGAAGACTTAAATTTGTAGTCAAATCATAAGAGAAAGAAATTAAAGGTTCTGGTTTGTTCCTGGGATTATCCATCTTTTCCTCTTTATATATATATCAATACAACCGGGGATCTTAATAAAAGCTGCCCGTTCTTAACTACTAATAAACTAATCTTTTTTAGGTCTAAATACTAATCATATTTAGGGATGGCAATTCAACCCGAATTCGATGATTTTGACCAGATTCAATTAGGTCAGATTTTTTTTTAAAAATTCGAGTTCGGGTGGAAAAAATCGGACTCAACTCGACCTAAAAAATACATATAATTTTACCCTATATATTTAGGGATAATTACAATAATACACTTCTAAATATAATTTTTTTTCAATTAAGTCATTATTTTTATTGAATAAAACTATTTTTTTTATTTCAAGTCGAGTCGGATTTCTAAGTCATATATTCGGGTCGGATGAAACCTTAATTTCGTCAAATCAGATCACGGGTGGAGGACCCTTTCTTTTCGGGTCGGGTTGGATGACCCAAAAACCTGACCTGACCCATTGCAATCCCTAATCATATTTGTGCGAATTACATTATAACAAATCTTTCCTTAAATTCATTTCACCTCTTTAATTCCTTTAAATTCAAGACTTAAGCTTTCTATTTTAATTTCATAAATTTTGATTCTTTATTCTTGTAATATCATAATCACTTCAAATAGTTAATGGATAGTTGTCAAGGTTAAATTACCCGCATTGTTTGAATTTATTGTAATATCATATCACAATAAATGAGTCAAGTCAAGCTCTCGAGTATTGAATTTGATTCGATTCTAAAAATTCAAAGTTTGACACGTAGTGACGGAAATTAGTGATAGAGTGTGAGTAATTAACTTAGAATTTTAAAAAAATTAAAGGTTTAAATTAAAATTTTTGAAGGGTACGATTTATATTTTTAAAAAAAATTGAATTTTAACTAAATTTTTTAAAATTTTGAGATGCTTAATGATAACTAATAATTAACTATTTTAATGGTACGACATAATTCTCTCTTTAAACCATCTCTTACAACTCATCACATAGACATCGATTTCATTTTTTTTCTGGAATAGATGTTTTAAAGAAAGTCAACATCAATATTTTAATTAGAATAATAAGTAAAATCATTTATTTAAATAAACTAATTACATTATAAAATAAATAACTGAATAATGTTGAGTTTGAGTACATAAAAGAATCTCAAATATTAGTTTACTAGAGGGATGGAAATCATAATTCTACCACAAAAGTTTCAACTCAATTGATTCAAAATTTCAATTTCAGGAGTTGCTTTTGAATTTCCTGAAAAAGTTTCTTTGAACTATTCGATGAGTCCACTAAAATTTCAAAATTCTATACAACTAGACAAAAAAAGGAAGGAAGGAATGCTTGTATTGTTTTCTTTTATTCTTTGTTTGTATTCGACTATACATGAATTTCAAATTAAGCATATGGTTTTCCTTTTTCAAAACAAGTATAATAAAATGGTTTAAGCTTTACTGGAGATAAGAATATATTCAAGGAAGTATTATTTCTCCCTATAACGTATACATCATATACTTTTTTTAGAATATATATATATCATATAATTTAAAATAGAAACATATGACAAATTATCATAATGAGCATACATATCATAGCGATTCACAACCAAATCATGGAAATCTTATAACATATTTAAGTTTACCATAAGTTTATAACATCGATCTAATTGAGCCAAAACATCTAATTAACCTTAAACATCAAACTAATATTAGAATATTAAATCAAACTAATGAATTTGACATCATAATCGAGGACAACTACACTTACCGAATTACCATTTCACCCTCGACAACTTTCGATTTCAACATTACAATAAAAACAAGCCATACCAAAAATTAATGTATCCAATTTAACCTTAAATGACAAATAATCTTAAATTGAAAATGAATACAACTGACTAAAAATTGAGATAAAATGTCAATGGATATATAATCTCAAGAACAACACGTAGGGATTCAAATGAGGTTTGCGAAGCCTCAAATTGAAGAACCCAAAACTTAAGGTTTATGGATCAAGTGGAAACCAGTTTGGATTATGAAATGGAGCATAACCAATGAAAGTTTAAGGTGAGTAATACACAAATTTGAGTTGAATAGCTAAATTCCACCCACATGGCCAATCAATTTTTTTCTTTGCTTTGGGAGCTCAATGCGACAATGAAGGATAAAACAAGGTTGAAGAAGCAAAAAAAAAAAATCTTTCCTTTCTTTTTCAATTGTCGTCCATTTGCACAAAAGTTCAAGTTTTTTTTAGTTAGAAATTTGAGCTAAATTTTAAATATATGACATCTAACCTAATGACTCGTCAAACATGAATGAAGTGGTCTAATTACCATGCAAAATAAAACTTTAATCCCCTTTACAAGATGGTCCCACCTATTATTCTCAAGGTTCACAATTTAATATGTATCAAAATTAAGCTTGATTCCTTTTCACATAGGATATTCAAATTTATTTTAAATTTCAGATTAGACACCATAATGTATTTTCTATCGTTAGAAGTCTGAAAATTTATTGAATCGATTTTTAAGATGTTACGGATTAAATTACTAATCAATTTTGCAGGAAAGAGTTAGTCGGTTGTGAGCACACTATGAGAAGGGTTGCATGGTCTAAACTATAGGCGGGATGGATGATGGAGAATGCTGATGGGGCAAGAAACACAGGAAAGAGTTAGTCTCTAGTGAACCCATTTTGAACATTTTATCTAGAACTCTATCTCTTTCGCCAAGTCTACTAGTGATTATATAATAGAGACAAAAATAGTAATTTGAGCAATACCAAACATACCATTTGATCTGTTACTGCAAATGATTGCGAAGCGCCAACCCATGCATGCAAACAAAAATGAGTCTATTTTATTTATAGACATAGTCCCACAAATATATAGCTGTATAAATGCTTAACCCACTACCTTTTAATGCTTAACCCACTACCTTTTAAACAAAATAAACTTCAAAATGATTTGTTGTTTCTCACCCATTTTCCTCAAAATTATGGGTGGGTGCCATACTTTGAGGAACATATAGTTGTTGCCGTTCACGTCATATCCACTGCCAATTCATAATTTTTTTTGATATGAACTTTTAAAATTTTAAAAAGAGAAATTTTAAGATTTAAAAGAGATTATCAATATAAAATATAAAAAAAATATCTAAAATATATATTAATTTTCAATTTTCAATGAGAAGACTATTTCTCACCCACCATTCTATCTATCTTTTTGCAGAGTTATTGCAGGAACCAGCTGCATGGGATCACCAAACATCAATAGTTAATTATTTGATATATATATATATATATATTTTTCCTCTTTCTATATAAATTAAATGAAAAAAAAACAATCTTCAGGTCAATGAAACGACAATGGACTTTAATGATGGATTGGGATTTGTTAAGCGTGATTAGTGAATCTAATAAATGTTTGACCTAATAATTTTATGGATGGGTATACCTATATAAGTGATTGACTTGGGATTTGTCACATTGCGTCGGGTGAGAATCTTATTTGAGACATGAAAATGTGATTAGGAAACAACAATGTTTGTTACTTGTTTTTCTTTTCCAAATTACCCTGCCAATTAATTGAATATTCATACTGTAAAGTTGAATAATTGGTTACTGTATAGGCATTAGATGTCAAAGAGGCTTATTTGGATCCGTAAAATACTTTGGGTTTGACTTGTTTTATAGTTAGAATTATAATTATAAGTAATATATTTATACAAATAAAATTACGTACAGTGAAATTTGAACCTAAACACCTAAAGTTTTGGAATTTTAATCTCATCAGCATAACTAAGGCCTCGTTGGCTGAATTAGTTTTAAAATTGAATCTTTAATATTTTAGTATTTATTGGATTTTTTTAGATAGATTTACTTTGGTATTTTTGAAAATTTTATTGAACATATTACTATTTCAACAAAAAAATTATACATGAATTTTTAATTTAATTGCAATGTGATACATGGAATTTGAGTAATTAATAAACCTATACAATCCTGCCAACTTCAAAAGCAAAACAATTATTAAGTTCGTAACAATTACTTGATGGTAAGTAAATTTTGATAGCGTCAACAATTGAATTAGAATATTTAAATTTAAAAAAGTTAGATGTAACTTTTTAAGCTCATGGACTGAATTTTAAAACTTTACCAAAGTATCAGGATTAGACGCATATTTTAACTATTTTAAACCCATTTTTGGGGGGTTTGAAATTTCTTGGGTTGGGCCATTGTGTTCAAATCTCTAATATTGCCGAGTCGGTATGTTTTATAGGTTGAGGTTGAACAACCGATGATCGCATCGAATGGTTTAGAGGATTAAAAAATTCACAGCTTTCGTACTTGTGTTGTCATGGTATATTGAATCCCACATCTCCAACAGAACTCCCGAAAGCAAACTACATTGAGAACAAAGCACCACCTCAGGAAAAAGAATCAACAATCGCCCCATATCTGAACCCCGAACCTTAATATCCATCTAACCTTGCGAACTTCGTAATAACCTCTCATTCATCGCCTTCAATTTGAAAGCCCCATTTCTTTGCAAATGTCCACGCTGCTCGCTCAGCTTCCTTAAACTTTTTACAATGTCTGAGATCCGAATTAGAAAAAGAGACATTAACCTAATCGTAGGAACATCTCCATCCCTAACTACTCTTCTCTTAAGAGCTTTTTCTCTTTCCTTTCCTTCGGTTACCGCTAAAGACTTGTTCTGAATATCCATTGTAGATCTATATTTCGTCTTTGGGATATAATCCTACCGGAGACATTTTGATCTTTTCCAATTTCTACTTGCCTAACATCCTCTAAAATTTGCTTATTGTAGGGATTTAATTAACACCTCTGCTCATTCTGCCAAATTTATTTGAGTATTAGC